TAAACAATGAGGAGCCTAATGAGGATGGCTTGTAACAATCTGAGGAAGAGCAGAGCCACCCAGTAATGCAAGTTCAGGTGGAGATTTGGTTGTTGATTACGGTTTTTGGTGGGGCTTAATGGCCTGGGCAGCTGGGGCCCACTTGGTAATCTTATTCCAAGTTTTGGGGCGTAAAGTCGATTGTGGCAGTGGGCAATTTTTTAGCCAACGGCAAATTGGGTTTATGAAGATATTGGTGGGGCCCTTTCTTGAGTCCATGCTTACTTACTGTGGGCGTCCGTGGGCCTCCTTTCATGGTGCTCGTGGCCTTGTTGATTTTGGGCCATTTCTTGGGCTCAATTGTATTGGGTCTCAATTTTATTGGTGTGCCCATTTATTTTTGATTAGCCACAATGCAGCGAATCTTTTGTAGTCGATTATTTCATGATGATTGATCGTGTGATCCTCATGTGACTCGATATGAGGTTAGTTTTGGGCCATCTCCGCCAAGAGTGATTGGGGAGTCACTGCTATGGGGAATAGTGGTTCGATAACTAGCCGAGTTAGAGACTGGGAGATGAGCGGGAGGATAGCTACTGGTTTTCTGGTCGCTTCTTGTCTTCATGTGACCCATCTTGATTGATTGCTCTGCCACGCCTGACATGGAGTGATGGGGACACTGCCGTGGGGTTTGAGGCTTGTGATCTATCCAGGAAGGGACTGGGGAATGTGATGATTGCTCTCATGTTTTGTTGGCTATGTTTTGGTTTGCTGCAGCGGGGCTATTGTTTTTTCACTACAACTCTCAAGACCGTGGCTTATGGTTACTGATCGTACTAGCTTCATGTGATTCTGTTGGGATTTCTCGTGGGGTTGATTTTTGCCTCCATTACGGCTTTGGTTAAGTGGCTTGGATGTCACGGCTGTGAGGAGTGGGATGCTTATTGGATTCCATGTGTTTATCTACAGTAAAGACTGGGGGCTCGTGGGGTTGGTGGTATCCTTCGTTTCTGGCGTGAGGGTTGTAGCTTTGTGAGTGCCTGTCGTGTTTTACAAGTTTTTGAGGTGCTTCTTTGTATCTTTGCCCATATATTCACCCTAAGTTTCCTTCTATTATCTCTGATGGTAGGGGTTACTTGGGGACAAAAAGGATATATGGGCAAAGTTGGGTTGTTTGTTACTTTGTTGTTCTTGTATATCCCCCTCTTTCTTAGAGGGGTGTAGTGGTAGTTTCTGTTGGGTTTGTAATTGTTTTTTTTTTTATTTTATTATTTGTTGTTGGGCGTACCTGGGGTATGCCCCTTGTAAACTTGTAAATTTCATTGTCTTTATTTTATGACTTACTTTCCCAAAAAAAAAAAAAAAAAGTTCAGGTGGAGACTGTAGAGGCATTATCGGATCAAACTCACAGAGAGGTGCTGAACCCAATAGATGATGAGTCAAAGGATGATAATATGGATGGTCTTGTGGCCCTTCAGAAGGAACTGGTAGAAATCACAAGCTTAGTTCTCCCTCATGATACAGAATTGTTGGCTAAAGTGGAGAATCTTGTGGAATCTACTCCTGGCAAATTTCATACTAGCAAGCAAGCCCAAGCAGGCTCAAGTGCAAAAGGTAACTCCTCTGGCAAGGGCAATAAAAGCCAGAGGAAGAAACGCAGGTAATTCCAGTTTCATCTGGTTTGTGGGTTTTTGAATTTTTTGTTATTTCCAATGTCTTTAAAAATTGCATCTTGGAATGTTAGAGGATTTAATAATCCTCATAGACATAAAGAAGTTAGAAAATTCTTGCTGCATGAAGACATTAAAATTTTGGGCATTTTGGAAACTAAAATAAAAGCTTTGAATGAACAACAGATTTTTTCATCTGGTGTAAACAACTGGCCCTTTTTGACAAACTCACAACCTTCTAAAACTGGGCGGATTTGTGTTTGTTGGGACTCAGCTTTTTGTAAAGTTCAAAAGTTACATGACTCTGATCAGTATATTTTTTGTGAAGTGCATGATTTAACTACGGATTATACGTTCAGAGTCTGTTTTGTTTATGCTGAGAATAAACATGAAGTTAGGAAAGAATTTTTTGAGTACATGGTCACTATCTCCCAAGCTCAGTCCAATACTCCTCTTGTAATTTTAGGAGACTTTAATGCTATTAGATTTCCTTATGAAAAATCTGGGGGTTCTACTGGTTGGTCTAAGGATAAAGAGGAGTTCAATTCCCGTATTTTGTAAGCCGAGCTGTTTGATCTCTCCTATGGAGGTTGTCAATTCACTTGGGCTAATAAGAGAACTAGTGGGGATTATATTGCCTCCAAGATTGACAGAGTGCTGGTAAATGAGACTTGGCTTGATGCATTCCCTGCTTCATTTGCTACCTTTCTGCCCTCTGGCATATTTGATCACTCTCCAGTTGTGGTTCATATCTCTGATAAGGTGACTTCTTTTAAGAAACCTTTGAATAAACATGAAGTTAGGAAAGAATTTTTTGAGTACATGGTCACTATCTCCCAAGCTCAGTCCAATACTCCTCTTGTAATTTTAGGAGACTTTAATGCTATTAGATTTCCTTATGAAAAATCTGGGGGTTCTACTGTTTGGTCGAAGGATAAAGAGGAGTTTAATTCCCGTATTTTGCAAGCCGAGCTGGTTGATCTCTCCTATGGAGGTTGTCAATTCACTTGGGCTAATAAGAGAACTAGTGGGGATTATATTGCCTCCAAGATTGACAAAGTGCTGGTAAATGAGACTTGGCTTGATGCATTCCCTGCTTTATTTGCTACCTTTCTGCCCTCTGGCATATCTGATCACTCTCCAGTTGTGGTTCATATCTCTGATAAGGTGACATCTTTTAAGAAACCTTTCAAATATTTTGACTTCTGGGTTGACCATGAGGATTTCTCCTCTGTGGTTTCTACAATTTGGAACCAATACATTCAAGGTGTCCCTATGTTTAGAGTGTGTTAGAAACTGAAAAATCTGAAACCAGCTCTAAAGGCTCTGAATAAGAAAGACTTTAGTGACATTACTACCAGAGTCCACACTTCTAGGTCTGAGCTCCTCTCTACTCCGTGTAAGTTGGACAAGGATCCTAGTAATACTTCCTTGCAATAACTTGAGAGAACCTTTTATAAACAGTATGTTGATCTTCTGGTTGTTGAGGAGAGTCTGGCTCACCAAAAATCTAGAGTCCAGTGGCTTAGTCAGGGTGATAACAATAGCAGGTTTTTTTTCAAAACCATTAAGGGTAACATCAATAGGGGTAAAATCTTAAATTTGGAGATGATAGATGGCCAAAAATCTTTAAAACCTAAGGACATTCATAATGCTTTCATAGATTTTTTCTTTGGTTTATTTGGTACCCCTATTGATAACCATTATAATGGGTTTGATAGAGTCCAGTCTTTTGTTAAGTCTAAAATATCTTCTGATCAATCGCTATTGCTTGCTAGCCCTGTGACTGATAAAGAGATTAAGGACACTTTTTGGTCTCTTAAAGCCAATACGGCCCCTGGCCCTGATGGCTTCTCTGCTGGTTTTTTCAAAAGCTCCTGGAATATTGTGGGGAGAGAGGTCACCCAAGCTGTTAGAACCTTTTTTGAGTCCAGAAGACTTCTATCCGAAGTCAATAGTACCATTATTGCTCTTATTCCTAAGGTCCCCAATCCTGTTAAAGTGGGTGACTTTAGACCCATCTCTTGCTGTAACACTATTTACAAATGCATTGCCAAGATCATGGCAAACAGGATTAAAAATGATCTCCCTAATCTTGTTGATCCCGTTTAGTCAGCATTTGTTCAAGGTAGGAGAATATCTGACAACATCGTCCTATCTCAGGAGCTTATGAGAGGGTACCATAGGAAGTCCCCTACCCCGAGGTGTGCCATGAAAGTGGATATCATGAAAGCCTATGATAGTGTGAGGTGGGAATTTATTATCGATATTCTTAAGGCTATGGCCTTTCCCCCTGTCATGGTTTCTTGGATCCAGGCCTGCATCTCTAGTCCCTCCTTTTCGATTTGCATCAACGAGAGTCTTCATGGCTACTTCAAAGGGGCTAGAGGTTTGCGACAAGGTGATCCTCTGTCCCCCTATTTATTTGTTTTAGCTATGGAAATTCTTGCTAAAATTTTGGCTGAGAAGTCTATGCATCCTTTGTTTAAGTTCCATTGGAGATGTGAGAAGACTAAGATTATAAATCTTTGTTTTGCTAATGATCTCATGATTTTTAGCAAAGGTGATGTGCCTACTATTGAACTTATTATGGAAGGCCTTGAGGAATTTTCTAACCTCTCGGGCCTTACCCCTAATCCCAGCAAGAGTAATATCTACTTTTCTGGTTGTGAGATGGGGTTGCGCACCTCTATTCTTGGTATTGCTAAATTCAAAGAGGGCATGCTCCCGATTAAATATCTTGGTGTTCCCCTTATCACAACCAAATTGAGGGCCACGGATTGTGCTCCTCTCATTGATAGGATCAGCAAAAGAGTTAAGAATTGGACTAACAGAGTTTTGTCTTATGCGGGGAGGAGCCAGCTTATCCAATCCATCCTTTTTTCCATGCAAGTTTACTGGTCTTCCTTGTTTATTCTCCCTAAGAAGGTTATTAGGGAGATTGAAAGCATTCTTAGAGCTTTCCTTTGGTCTGGCAGTGAGATCAAAACTCATAGTGCCAAGATTGCTTGGGATTCTGTGTGTGCTCCTAAAAGTGAGGGGGGTCTTGGGTTTAAATCTCTTGATATCTGGAATAGAGCTGTTATAGCTAAGCATGTCTGGTTCCTTTTTTCTGGTGGCGAGAAGTCTATGTGGTGCCAGTGGGTTAAATCCTATTTACTCAAGGGTAGAAGCTTTTGGAGGGTCAAAATCCCCCCTGACCCTTCCTGGGTTTGGAGGAAAATATTGTCTCTTAGGGACTGGATGTCTCCTCTAATTAATCACCAAGTTGGTTGTGGAGATTCTACATTCCTTTGATACGACAATTGGCACCCTCTTGGTCCTCTATGGAATAAGTTTGGGGACAGGATTATGTATGATTCTTGCCTCAACAGTGAGACCAAAGTCAGCCAAATCATCAATGGTCATTCTTGGAAGTGGCCTATTCCTAATTCTTGGGAAATTCAAGAGTTGATCTCATCTACTCCTGAATGCTGCAAACCTAACCCTTCCAAGTGTGACCAAGTTATCTGGAAACTTACTACTGATGGTCAGTTTTCCATTCACTCAGCTTGGAATCATTGGAGACGTAGTTTTGGTAGAGTGGTTTGGCATAAACTCCTTTGGGGCCCTCATAGGATTCCTAAAGTCAATTTCATTGTCTGGGTAGCTATCCATAACAGGTTGTACACTGGTGATAGGCTAATGCTGTTTGGTTTAGCTCCTCATTCACAGTGCCCTTTCTGCCTTGATCCTGGAGAAAGTCATTCTCATCTTTTTTTTAAGTGCAGTTTTACCAATAGAGTTTGGGGTGCTATTGAAGGCAAATGCAACATGAAGTGGCCTATTTTGGATTGGCCTGATATTGCTACATATGCTACGAAGGAGACTAAGGGTAATTCTCTTAGGGCTAATATTCTTAGCAATGCTTTCTTGTGCTCTATTTACCACATCTAGATTGAGAGAAATAATCGTGTTTTTAACAAAGAATTTAAGCCTGAAGAGGTGGTTATTAAATCTGTAATCCAGATGGTGAGAAGTAGAATGCTGTCCATTAAGAATTTGCCTAGCTCTGCTAGTGACGGTTGGTTTCCTGCCCAATGGAACCTGCCAACAACAATATTGAAGCCCCATATTATCAGATATGGGAGGGCTGCTGAGTGATGTGAGTTCCATATATGTGGGTTGAGTGTTGGTGAGCAACATTGTGTGTTTTGCGTAATGGTTTGGTTTTGTGCAGGATCTGTTCAGAGTTCACTGTGGATGCATCTATGTATTTGAGGGTTGAGTGTTGAGAGGAGTTAAAATTTTCACTTCACATGAGGGTTGAGTGTATTTAGCCACCATATTTGCTAATGTTAATATATATTATATTTCTTTATTTGCAGGGTAAGGAAGCACAAGTCGAGTGATGTGAGCCCCTAAATTGTGGGTCGAGTGGTGTGAGATCCTATATTGAGGGCACTGTTTCTATTTTAATTCCTAGTAGATTGTATCTTCTCTGCTGGAGGTACTTACTTATGGCTGTTCTTACAGGGTCTATTATAATGTATGAGCAGGTCTTGGGTTATATGGGTCGGCAGTGGTGTCCAGGTTTTGGGGACTGCAGACCTGTTGTTTCGAAAGCTCCTGGTTTTTCAGATTTTGGTTTCACTACAATGATTAAGTTCTGTTGGAGTTACATGGAGAGGACGATCTTTACTTCTCTTGTTGACTGCTGGTTTGTTGATACTCAGTTGTTTGGCAGATTGCGTGACAGAGGTTACTGTTTTGTGTTGATGGCTGCTTGTAGCGCCTTTGTGGACACTTGTCTTTTCTTAATTTATATTTCTGTGTTGAATTTCTGTGTTTGGATGTTAGACGGTATTGATGTGATGATATTGTTTTGGCCTACCCGTGCGGGATGTGCCGGGTTATTAGTTCAGTGTTTGCTTTTGATTGTGTCGTATGTGTGGACTGATTTTTTGATTCAGCTTCGAGTTATCGATTGGATGTGTTCATGGACCTCATTCGTATGTATGCGGCTTATGCACATATCCTTTGGGGGTTTCCTTCTATGTATTGTTTTTCTTTATTTTAATTTTGGCAGCCGGTTTTGATCCTTGTTAGTTGGCTGGTTTTTTCTTGTTCACTCTTCGGTTGTATAGTTGTCTATTAGGTCCTGGGGTATGCCCCTTGTAGTTGTGTAGTTCTCTGTCTTTTTTTATATTATGTCTTATTCACCCAAAAAAAAAAATTTACTTGGGCTAATAAGAGAACTAGTGGGGACTACATTGCAACCAAAATAGATAGAGTGTTGGTTAATAAGGCTTGGCTGGATACCTTTCCTGCCTTTTTGCTACCTTTTTACCCTCTGGTATATCTGATCACTCTCCTGCTGTGGTCAATGTCTCTGACAAGGTGACTTCTTTTAAGAAACCTCAATTCATACATTTTGAAATCTGAACTGGTTGATCTCTCCTATGGGGGTTGCCAATTTACTTGGGCTAATAAGAGGACTAGTGGGGACTACATTGCAACCAAAATAGATAGAGTGTTGGTTAATAAGGCTTGGCTGGATACCTTTCCTGCCTTTTTTGCTACCTTTTTACCCTCTGGTATATTTGATCACTCTCCTGCTGTGGTCAATGTCTCTGACAAGGTGACTTCTTTTACGAAACCCTTTAAATATTTTGACTTTTGGCCTGACCATAAGGACTTTAGCTCTGTGGTTTCTAGAGTGTGGAATCAGTATATTCATGGTGTTCCTATGTTCAGGGTGTGTCAAAAATTGGAATATTTGAAGCCTGAATTAAAGGCTCTGAACAAGAAAGACTTTAGTGATATTACTACTAGAGTCCAAACTTCAAAATCTGAGCTCTTCTCTGCTCTGTGTAAGTTGGACAAGGACCCTAGTAATAATGATCTGCAAAAACTTGAGCGCAATATCTATAAGCAGAATGTTGACCTCCTGGCTGTTGAAGAGAGTTTGGCTCACCAGAAATCTAAAGTCCAGTGGCTTAGTCAGGGGGATAGAAATAGTAGTTTATTCTTCAAAACTATTAAGGGTAATATCAATAGGGGTAAAATTTTAAATCTTGAGATGATGGATGGCCAAAAATCTTCTAAATCCGAGGACATCTAGATTGCTTTTACCAACTTTTTCTCAGGCTTATTTGGTACCCCTTTTGATGACCAGTATAATGGTTATGATAGAATTTAGTCCCTTGTTAAGTTCAGAATCCCTCCTGATCAATCTCTAGTACTTGCTAGCCCTCTGACTGATAAAGAGATCAAGGACACCTTTTGGTCTCTTAAAGCCAATAAGGCCCCTGGCCCTGATGGCTTCTCTGCTGGTTTTTTTAAGACATCCTGGGATATTGTGGGGAGAGATGTCATTCAAGCCATTAGAACTTTTTTTGAGTCTGGTAAGCTTCTGTCTGAAGTCAATAGTACCATTATTACTCTCATCCCCAAAGTCCCTAACCCTGTCAGAGTGGGTGATTTTAGACCCATTTCTTGCTACAACACTATTTACAAATGCATTGCCAAGATCATAGCTAACAGGATTAAATATGTTCTCCCTGATCTTATAGACCTTGTCCAGTCAGCTTTTGTTCAGGGTAGGAGGATTTCTGACAATATTTTCCTATCCCAAGAGCTTATGTGGGGGTATCATAGAAAGTCCACTAATCTGAAGTGTGCCATGAAAGTGGATATCATGAAAGCTTATGATAGTGTGAGGTGGGAATTTATTATCGATATTCTCAAGGCTATGGCCTTTCCTCCTGCCATGGTCTCTTGGATCAAGGCCTGCATCACCAGCCCTTCATTTTCAATTTGCATCAATGGGAGTCTTCATGGCTATTTTAAAGGGGCTAGAGGTTTAAGACAAGGTGATCCTATGTCCCCTTATTTATTCATTTTGGCCATGGAAATTCTGGCCAAAATCTTGGCAGAGAAAGCTAAGCATCCACTCTTTAAGTTTCATTGGAAGTGTGAGAAAACAAAAATCATCAATCTTTGCTTTGCTAATGATCTCATGATCTTTAGCAGAGGAGATGCCTCTACTGTTAAGCTTATTATTGAAGGCCTTGAGGAATTTTCATCCCTGTCTGGCCTAATTCCTAATCCCAGCAAAAGTAACATCTACTTTTCGGGTTGTGATATGGGGTTGAGAGCTTCTATTCTTGAGATTACTAAATTTACAGAAGGTACTCTTCCTGTTAAGTATCTTGGTGTCCCCTTGATTACCACTAAGTTGAGGGCATCTGATTGTGTCCCTCTCATTGATAGGATCACCAAAAGAGTGAAGAATTAGACCAATAGAGCATTGTCTTATGCTGGTAGAAGCCAGCTCATTCAATCCATTCTCTTTTCTATGCAAGTATATTGGTCTTTCCTCTTCATTCTTCCCAAGAAGGTTATTAGGGAGATTGATAGAATTCTTAGAGCCTTTCTTTGGTCTGGTACTGATCTTAAAACACATAGTGCCAAGATTGCTTGGGATTCTGTGTGTGCTCCTAAAAATGAGGGGGGCTTGGGCTTTAAATCTTTAGATAGTTGGAATAGAGCGGCCATTGCTAAACACATTTGGTTTTTGTTCTCTAGGGGTGAGGGATCGATGTGGTGTCAATGGGTCAAATCCTACTTATTAAAGGGGAAGAGTTTTTGGAAAGTCAAGGTTCCTAATGATCCTTCTTGGGTGTGGAGGAAATTATTGTCTCTTAGAGATTGGGTTTCCCCTTTGATTAAGCATAAAATTGGTTGTGGGGATGCTACTTTCCTTCGGTATGATAATTGGCACCCTCTTGGTCCGCTGTGGAATAAATTCGGGGATAGAATTATTTATGATTCTGCCCTTAACAGTGAAACAAAAGTCAGTCAAATCATTGATGGTTCTTCCTGGAAGTGGCCTATTCCCAATTCTTGGGAAATTCAGGAGTTAATATCCTCTACTCCTGTGGGCTGTAAACCCAACCCTTCTAGTAGTGATACAGCTCTTTGGAAACTTACTACTGATGGTCAGTTTTCCATTCAATCAGCTTGGAATCATTGGCGCAAGAAATTTGATAAAGTGGCTTGGCATAAGCTTGTGTGTGGCCCTAATAGAATTCCTAAAGTCAGTTTTATTGTCTGGGTTGCTCTTCACAACAGACTTTATACTGGTGATAGACTTCGTATGTTTGGCCTGGCCACAAGCTCTCAATGCCCTTTTTGCCTCATCCCTGAGGAAAGCCATTCGCATCTATTCTTTAAATGCATCTTCTCTAGCAGAGTTTGGTGTGCCATTGAAGCTGTTTGTAACATTAAGTGGTCTGCTTTAGGTTGGCCTGACATTGTCACTTATGCTACTAAGTAGACCAAGGGTAACTCATTGAGGGTCAACATCATTAGTAATGCATTCTTATGTTCTGTTTACGTTATCTGGATTGAAAGAAATAACAAAATTTTTAACAAAGAATTTAAACCTGAAGAGGTGGTCATTAAATCTGTTATCCAAATAGTTAGAAATAGAATGTTGTCTATTAAGAATATTCCTAGATCCATTGGTGACAGCTGGTTTCTAGCTCATTGGAATTTGCCAGAGACAATTTTGAAGCCCCATAGCATCAAATATGGGAGGGCTGCTGAGTGATGTGAGTTCACTATAAGTGGGTTGAGTGATGGTGAGCTTAAAGGAGGGTTCTAATTATTTGGATTTTGCAGGTGTAATCCGATGGTTTATGTGGAGCTATCTATTTTTGAGGGTTGAGTGATGAGAGTTATTATCATGTCTTTCAGTTTACATGTGGGTCGAGTGATTTTAGCCATCATATTTTTGCTAATGCCTATATATATTGTAAATTTTTATGTACAGGTTAAGGATATTTTTTTGAGTGGTGTGAGCCCCTAAATATTGGGCCGAGTGATGAGAGATCCTACATTGAGCGTACTATTACTATGTTATGTCCTTGTTGTTATTGCTGGAAATACTCATTCATGACTATTTCTACAGAATGTTTAAGCTCTGTGGTGGTTGCATGGAAAGGGATATGTGTTATTCGTTTGATGGCTGGTGCTGTGATGGCACTCTGTTACTGGGCAGATTGTGTTTGATGCCCACTGGTTTGGTGTGTTGGTTGCTGGGAGCGCCTTTGTTAAAACTTGTCTTTCCTTTATTTATGTTAATTATTATGGGTGTGTTTGGTAACGTTTACGTTTTCAGTTTATATTTACAAAAATTTTATAAACTGATTTTTGTTTATTTTTAAAAAAACATAAACTACAAATGCGTTTGGTAATTGACAAAATATTTTTAAAAATTTAAAAATATAAAAAAGAGTGAGAAATAGCAAGTGGTGGCAAGTGGCAGCGAAAGACGGTGGTGGAAAGTGGTGACGGTGGGTGGTGGGTAGTTGGTGGTTACGGGTG